GGCCGGCCCCGCGGCCTCCTTCCTCCCTGCGGGGTCAGCGGGGCAGGGGAGGGCGTAGGTCTTGGCCGGTAAGTACTTGCTGAAGGGAAGACCAGGGGTGCTTAACCCTGTTCGGTGTCGCTCTCTTCCAGCGATGGCATCTCGGGAGGCTGCCGAAACATCCTTCTTCAGCCTGAGTGGTGTAAGAGAGCGAATGCGGGAGAAGAAAAATGGTGCCTTGAGGACTGCGAAGTTGAATGCCTCGCTTGCATCAAAAATCAAAACGAAAATCATTAGTGAGTATATTCTGCCTAGTAGCATGTGCAGAGGCTGGCAGCTATGTCAGCTATAGCTGTGCCTGTGGCCGTGGTGGTAGCAGTGGGCGGTTGCCTCTTACCTAGAGCTTGTGTTTAACAGCTGCTTCTCTGCCTGTGGCTTTCTGGTGAATTTGGTACCCTGCAAATGAGTGTCAAGTGCCACTTGAGGTGCCCAAAGGTCTCTGAGGTATCTGTGACTGGCAGGTTTAATGCAGAACCTTTGGAGCAGCAGCTGGTGGCATTACAGGCTGCTTGCAGCATCTCGGATGGCATTAGGAACCTGTGTCTGGGTAACTGAGTCCTCAGGGTCCACATGGCGAAAATAAGAGGCGTGGAAAGTATTTTAGTGTATATGCAATCCTATGCAGAAGCTAGTCCAACTGCAATTTGTTTTTATGGGGGAAATAATGTAATGATTGTGCATGAGAGAATTTGGACTACCTTGAAAAAGTTAGATATTTCTGTTACTTTTATTTATTTGCTTTGAAATTGGGAAACACAGATCTAAACCTGCTCAAGGGCTACTACAGAGGAAAGCAGGGTTTTCTCCCTCTTTTCGGATGGAGATGAGGACTCAGAGCTATAGGTGTCTTGTTCAAAGTCAGAAGCATATCTTTCTAAACTCAGCACCTGAACCACGCTATCATTTGTTAAGAATTGAAGCAGTAGTTTGCTGACTGAGCACGACACACTGAGGATGGAGACGATGCCTGTCTGAAGCGTTGCAGGTTATGATGGGGAGTTTTTCCTGCTGTTCTCTGGAAACTTTTATTGCTGGAAGGAACGATAATGCTGGCTTTGTGTGGGGGCTATTGAGCTGTAGAGATCTGAGCCTAAGGGAAACTATTCTGGGAAGAGGAAGAAGTATGATGAGGGAAGAGGCATGGATGAGACCTTGGATGCTGATTCTGTGCAATACTTTTTTATCACTTACAGACAACTCCTCCACTATTAAAGTCTCCCTAAAGCACAACAATAAAGCCCTGGCCCTGGCCCTCAATGCAGAGAAGGCCAATGCGCAGCGGCTCATCCAGGAGAAGACCATCTTACAGAAGGAGGTGGAGCAGTGCCACTTCCAGAATGCTGTGCTGCGGCACAAGCTCTCCTTCCTGGTATGGCACTAACAGTGTGGCTGGCACGGAGAGGGGTGGTGGGCAAGGTATGCGGCACTAGCATCTTAACTTTGGGAGGAGTGAGCTGTCACTGATTGTCCATACTCTCTACATATGAAAAATGTCACCATTCATTTGCCTACTCTTTTTTTCTGAGCTGTGTTCTCCCCACAACATGTCTTGCTCTGGCTGCCAGCGTCCTAATTGGAACAGATGTTTTGATTTAATGTTTTCATTTTTTTTTTTCTGTTTGTTACCTTAACATAGAGTAATACCTTGAAAGAGGTTGAAAACCTTATGGCTGCAGTTAAGATGGCCCGGCTGTCTGAGGTAAACCATGGGAAATGTGAGCATGCTACTCTGGGAAGGAGGCTGTGTTTGTCTTTTGCTTTGTGTTGCCCGCTTGCTTCAGTGTTTGATGCTTCAACTGTTTTTCTTTGCTTGCTTGAATTGTGCTGGCTGCATTCCTGTTTTTAGCTTGGTGTTAATGATTTCCAGGGTAACTTCCTCTGTAGAAAAGGCTACAGTTTTAAACTGTCTTCCTCTGGGTCGTCGGGTACACGGGCCAGTAGGCTCTTCTGCTATGACAGGTTGTGACTTTTTTTTCAATTTCTTTTTTAAAGTGTTGCTATGGCAATTTGGGATAGGGAATAGGACACTTTCAGTATGTCCTGTCTCATGGGTGGGTGGGAAAATATTCCTGCTTCCTAGTCTCAGATTATCTGAACTAGTTTAACTTCATCCTTAAGCCTGTGAAGACAGTATCTGACTCTGCTACAATTTATTCCACAATTTGTGTAATTTTAAATGGGAGAGGGTCACTGGCAGTATTTGACATACTTTTCAGGGTGAAACTGAGCTGCTGCTGTTTCTGTGCAGGAGGGTGCACAGGGGATTGCAAGAGCTTTAAACCACCCTTTTATTTCTCCCCTTTCTAGTTCCATACAAGTTCTCCACCCTTGTCCAATGGCCAGAAAAGCAGCATGACTGAAGATAGCTGGGCTGATGGTATTGCAGATGGTCAGCTTGTGAGGTGGGCCTTAAAATGTCATATATCACCAAGCTTGTCCTGAATTTCTATATGCTAAACTTCCTCTTCTGTCTTACGTATGTGCCCAGTTGTCCGTTTTACATGAGATGTCTTCTCTAAACCACCACTGCTTCGTGTTTTCCTTTCCTCTGTGCCTTTCTGCTGCCACTCCTTGTCTTATTTGTCCTAATGCCAAGTCTACGCATAAACTAGTCCTTCTCTCTCCTTTGTTTGAAAGCACATTGCTTTTAGGTAGGTTTTTTCTTTGTAGCTGATGAGCACTGCAAGATTTCCTTGAGTGAGTGAGTGCCATAGCTGGCTGCTTTGATGTTTGTACATATAAATGCTTAACAGTCATTTGCTTGTATGATGTAAATTTGTGTTTGGAAACAAGCTCAGAGCAGGATCTCTTAAAATATATTTTAAGTTCTGTTTCTCCTCTGTCTAGTCCCCCCGTTGAACACAGGGGAGCCCCTGGAGCTGTCTATGCACATATCTCCAAGCAGCTATGTTCTGGTGAAGCTGTGGTTGCAACCTGTGCACTGAAAAGCCTTGCTTGTTTTATCCATGTACTTTTCTCCTGCTTCTGTGTCCACAGCAGTGTGCTTTCCATATGAGTTGTGCTTGCACAAAAATGGGAAATGTGTTCTTCAGCACTTGAAGCCTTGAGAAATGTATTTTGGCAGCTCTTGATGAAGGTGAAAGATGTAGCTATTCTGCTGGATTCTGGGGCCTGTCACAGGTATGGAACATGCTCCATTGCTGTTACTCCTTCTCACCAGGGCTGCATGGATACCAATGAGGGTGCCTGTTTCCAAGCTGTGTGATGCAGGACAGCAAGGTGGCAGCTCCACAGCAGGACAGACATCCTCACTAGATCTTCAGAGACCTGCTTCTAATGAGCCCCTGGAAATTGTGCCTGTTGCCTCCAAAGACACTTTGCCACCACAGCCTGCTGAGAAGCCTCAGTCCCACCAGGAAGAGAATGGGAAGAAACGATCTGAAGCAGTGGAAGCACAAGAGGCTTTTCTTGCCTCTCACGTCTTTGGAGGTAGATTTGTATCTTCTACTATTCTGGTGTGACTTTGCCTGTCTCTGTTCAGAAATGAATGAGTGCAGTGCCATAGCTCCGGTTAGCTCCTAACCATCACTCCAGCAGCTCCTAATTACTGTTAGGAACTGCATGCTTCAGTGGTGCTGATGTTGCTAGAGTTATGTATATCCCAGAATGGGATGTCTTGGTGGGGATATTTGGCATGTTTGCATAGCTCCAGATCATTCATCAGGCTTTCTGAGTAATAGGCACTGGGCTTGCATGAGATTTTCAGAAATGTCTGAAGGTGCAGAATCTGAGTAGATGCATATTTTCTATTCCTTGTGGATTTGCCGTATAAATAATAACTCATACAGCTCGTGAGCATTCCTAAATATTAGGGCTAGTTAAGGGATCTTGCTTTGGGCTGCTTTTCTGTTCTGCAGGGAGCCAGCTAAGCAATTGTGTTACACGGTAAATTTGGGGGAGTCCCTGTAGAGACAAAAATCATACTTTTCCTATGCTCTGGATTTGTGGCCAAGTGTGGGGCATGGCTTTTAGTGGTATGGGGAAAGCTGGCATTTGCCTGCTGCATTTCTCAGTCTTGGGAATGAATTTTGTTTTTCCAACAGGGGCCTTGTGCACCACTCAACAAAATCCCAACACTTTGCCAGCACTTGCTTTGGAAACTCATCTTCTTTCACATGAGGATGATGAGATGGCAAAACAGTTCTTTGATCGTCTCTCACAAGGGCATGTTACTGAGAGGAGAAAGCGTTCTACCCTGTTTGCAACAAGCACTCCATCTGCTGGTGTGGATACCTGCCCACGTGTCAGTTCCACTTGGCCAGCTCGGTTGAGTATCACGAAGGAAAGGAGCAGCTCCAGCAAGAGCAACACACAGCCGCAGCTGAAATCTCCCAGCTCTCTGGTTTCCCCTACCCAAACCACTGTTACTCCTGATAGAAAATCTTTGGATAAAGAAATTTTCTGTGATCCGCCACAGGCTGAAGAAACTGGGTGTGGTGTTGAAACAGACCCCAGCTGTAGCCAAGTCCCTGAGTTTGTTCCTGTGAAGGTTAAAAGCAAAGGTAATTGTAAAACTGGTGAGAAAACAACTGTTAAAAAAGCAAGCACAAGAAAAAAGAAAAAAAATGCAATTAAAAACAGTGCAGAAAGTAGTCCTGATCTACCTCAAGATGAAGAGACTACTCAAAATGCAAAGAAGCTTCTTCAGCCAAGAGTTGAAACATGTTCTAGTGAGTCTGCAGTTTCTGAGATGAGGCAGAAGGCTTGTGTGGGGGCTTCTGACAGGAAGAACAGAGGCTTTGCTG